ATTAATTTTTTAAAAAAATTTTTATTTTATTATTTTTGTGTGAGTGTACCGTCAAATCAGATCTGACTGGTACAGGAGGAGATTGTCCCTCCTTCCCTGGCAGAACATCTGGTGGATTCGAACCGTGTGCCTCTGGGATTATAGTTACAGCTCCTTGCCACTAGGCCACCAGAGCTTCCCAATATTATTAATTTTAATGAAAATTTAGCGAGACTTTGGATATCCATTCAGAAGATGTTTTCTAATTAATTAGGTGCTGCTCCTTTCAGATTTATTGCAGAGCCAGGAATATTATCCAGATGAACATGCTCTGTTCAACTGTGAACTCTAAAAAACCCAGTGGTTGAACTTCTTAAGTTATTCAATGTAAAGATTGATGGAGACTTGGTTTGTGTGTATTTATGGCTTATTCTAGGAAACTGTTACATTTGAGGATGTGAGCGTGGACTTCACAGAGGCAGAATGGAAGACCCTGAGCTCTGAACAGAAGAACCTGTACAAAGACGTGATGCTGGAGATGTATGGGAATCTTCTGTCGTTGGGTAAGCATATGCTACTTTCTCCTCCTTGACCTCCTCCTATATGTCAGAAGAGTCCTGGGGAGCCACTGTGTAAACCCTGGTCTGCTTACAAAGCAGGACATTTGAACCTCTCTGCAGTCCACAGTGGAAGTTGCAGTCACTTCTGAAAAGATTTACAGCCTTGGCGTTCATATTTGGCAATTGTGTTCTGCTATATAGTTTTGCTAGCAGATTGACTTGACTAGCTCTTTTTTCCCCCCTTATGCCAAAGTTCTTATGTGGTATAAACTGTCTACACTTAAGAATCTTAGTTAGCATAATTGGCCTGGTAGCAACCAATTCAGTGCAGCTTCTCAACCGGCACAGTCTTAACGGAGTTGAGAGAGTAGGCCTGCACTGAATAGGGGAGTCTTTGATGACGGGCTTTGTGGTCGTGACCCTTACTTGCAGTCCGAATTTCCTGGTCTGAGGTTGTATTGTTTTTCTTCCTCATACGCCCCTTTACTGTCAGTGCCATGTGAGAATAGTGTAGTCATGACTCATGAGTGCACAGAGAATCAGACTTGCCATGGAGAGGAGGGTGGCGTGAAAGCTGGCACATAGGAGAGGGGTGGAGGCCTCATGGACCTCAGCTTGATAGGAATCAGCTTTAGGCTGATGCTGACCGGCTTCTCCCTGAAGTTGGGTAAGTTTAGATATGACTATTGTTCCCTTTCACACGTCAACACGGACTTCTTTCATTTGCCTATCTGCCAGGAGTGTATTTATGTCTCTCACTCCCTGTTGATAATTAGAAAAGTGACAAAAGATGTTTTCACAGACCTTGCACACTGGTATTGCCTTGTACTCTCTAAATGTTTGGGTTGTTGTTGTTGTTGTGTGCCATCAAGCCGATTCAGGGCTGACCCTCCAGCAGGTTTTCTGAGGTAGTAAATTGCACAGTAGGTGATTGCCCATCCTTCTCCAGTGAAGCAGCTCATGGATCCAAACCGTGTACCCTTGGGATTGCATTGCAGTCTATCACCACCAGAACTTCCTAATGTTATGGGTTGATTCATCCAGTACATCTATAACTTAAATTGTTTTCTAGAAGGAAAAGCTATTAGGTGTTCTTTTCAGAGAAGAAGCAGTGTCTGAGACTTGTTAGCAAGATTCCTTGTCTGTGGATGTACTGGAGAGATTTCCTTTCTTTTTTTTTTTGGTGTAAATGACCTGGATTGTAATATACAGTCACGATTGTTGAGTTTGTTCCTACTCATTCCTACTCTATAGGACTCTGTAACAGCTCCATAGAGATTGGAAGGCTATGCATAGTAATGCAGCCCAACAGACACATATTTCTTCTAGTACAGCGCAGGAGGGGATGACCCTCTATGAGGTGGACTGATTCAGTGACTGGGGTAATCGGGATGGGTGTGTCAGAGGCAATGAGATTGGCACAGGATAGAGCAGGGTTTAGGGCTGTTGTACATAGGGTCGCTATGAGTCGCAAACGACTCGACAGCACATAACAACAACAACAACCAGGATGATAGATTTCACATCCCTAATCTTTTCATTGAGAGCTGAATGCTTTATCTTCTGGGTTGTAATATAAAGAGTAGCTTATAAAACTGGACTGAAAATAAATTACTGATTGGAAACAACTTGTGCTTTCTAAATCGTCCCAGATGTGACAGTAAGATTGTTTTACTTGTTTTCAGTTTGATATTGACTTATTGGAACCTCTTATGTACAGAGTAGAAATGCTCCATTAGATAATGAAGATAGTGCCCTTTTGGAAGTAGATCTTCAGATCTGTCTTGTAAACTGTCAGCTTTTTGGATAGAAGTAATGTACGGAATTGTGCCACTCGGGAACTCCAAAGTTGAGAATTTCCTTGTCATAGAGAAGGAATACTTTCTCAGCATATCCGTGTCCAGCTACTCTAATGGAAAACTTTCTCTCTTCAGCAGAACCAAAGACAAAGATCTACTCCTGTTCCTCTTGCCTTGTGGCTTTCTGCTGTCAGCAGTTCCTCAGCCAACATGTGCTCCAGGTCTTCCCAGGTTTATGTGCGGAACATCTTCTGCGTCCAGCGGAGTTCAACCTCAAACCACAGAAGTGTCAAGAGGAGCAGGATTCGGCTGGGCGTTTCTGGAGAGAAAACACAGAAGCTCAAGAGAAAGAAGTGTCTGAATTTCGTGGAAGAACAGTGGAGACACAGACTTCAAAGACATTTTCTAGCCTACCTGGAAGACAGTCAGCAAGTTCCGGAGAAGATGACACAGCTACAGGCCTAGACCTTAAGATGGCACAAAGAGTGCACTGTATGGGAAAAGCGCAAAGGTGGGAGGAAGCAGAAACATCCGAACTTAGTGCAGTTCCATATACAGAGGATGTCCCTGACTCTGTTTTGAAATTATACTTTAGTACACACAAAGGGCCCCTCTTCCAAGAGAGGCACTTTGTTTGCAAGGAGGGTTTGGAAAGCTTTGCCCAGAAGTCACAACATATTAATCAGCAGAGGACACACTCAGGGGAGAGGCCTTATGTTTGCAGTGAGTGTTGGCAAAGCTTTACCAGGAAGCCATATCTCATCACTCACCAAAGGACACACACAGGCGAGAGGCCTTTTGTTTGCAGTGAGTGTGGGCAAAGTTTTACCAGGAAGTCCTATCTTGTCAGTCACCAGATGATACACTCAGGGGAGAAGCCTTATGTTTGCAAGGAGTGTGGGCATAGCTTTATTCAGAAGTCAAATCTCGTCACACATCAGAGGACACACTTAGGGGAGAAGCCTTACATTTGCAAGGTATGTGGGCAAGCCTTTAAGGTGAAGCCGTATCTCATTGCACATGAGAGGACACATTCAGGGGAGAGGCCTTATGGCTGTATTGAGTGTGGGCAGAGCTTTATCAGAAAGTCGTATCTCATCAGTCACCAGAGGATACACTCAGGAGAGAAGCCTTATGTTTGCAAGGAGTGTGGACAGACTTTTAGCCAAAGGTCAACTCTCATCACACATCATAAGACTCACTCATGGGAAAAGCCTTATGTTTGCAAAGAGTGTGGGCAGGCCTTTAAGGTGAAGCCATCTCTCATCACCCACCAGAGAACACACTCGGGGGAAAAGCCTTATGTTTGCAAGGATTGTGGGCAAGCCTTTACTCAGAAGTCAACCCTCGTCATACACCAGAGGACACACTCAGGCGAGAAGCCTTATGTTTGCAAAGAGTGTGGGCATACCTTTATTCAGAAGTCAAATCTCATCTCACACCAGAGGACACACTCAGGTGAGAAGCCTTATGTTTGCAAGGAGTGTGGGCAAAGCTTTTCCAGGAGTTCACATCTCATTGGTCACCAGAGGGTACACTCGGGGGAGAAGCCTTATGTGTGCAAGGAGTGTGGGCAAGCATTTAGCCACAGGTCAACTCTCATCACACATCAGAGAAGACATTCAGGGGAGAAGCCCTTCGTTTGCAAGGAGTGTGGGCAAGCCTTTTCCCGGAAGGCACATCTCATCGCACACCAGAGGATACACTCAGGGGAGAAGCCTTACGTTTGCAAGGAGTGTGGGCGAGGCTTTTCCCAGAAGTCAGCTCTCATCATACATCTTAGGAGGCACACAGGGGAGAAACCTTATGCTTGCAAAGAGTGTGGACAAAGCTTTATCACAAAGTCACATCTCGTCGCACACCAGAGGATACATTAAAGGGAGAATCCTTCTGTTTACAGTGACTGTGTTCATGGCTTTATTCAGAAGTCGTATCCCATTCAGACACCAGAGAGGACGCCTGTTGTTGCTGTTGTGGGGTCCTCTCAAGCTGGAACCAACCTTAGCTGACCCTTCAGTGAGTTTTAGAGTAAGTAACCTGCATGGGAAGAGATTGCCCATCTTTCTTCTGTGGAACAGTATGTTTGAAGCGTGTACTTTATTGGGTTGACAGCATAATTCCTTTCCACTAAAGCAACAGAGCTCTCTCCAGGTGACTCCTGGGTTTGAAAATCTTTCGCGGACCTTGTGTGTATGATGAAAGCTACTCCAAAAAATAATAAGTTTTCTTTCAGTATTCTAGTTATAAATCCCGCATGATTTTTGAGTGTTTTTCACATGTTGTAAATTGTCTGTTCACTCTCTCAGTAGTGCTCTAGAATCACAGGCCCTTTTAATTTATTAAAGTTTATTATATATATGTCTTTTGTTATTTATTGGTATCATTTCCAAGAATTCAATGTCTAAGTAATGTCCCAGAGATTGGACCCTACTTAGACCTACCATCATTTCCAGTTTTGGGAGGGACCAGATAATATAACTTTTCCATTACTTTTGATGGCCTGTCTTGACCGTACCTTTACATCCTCTGGCATTTCTCTGAGGGAGCAGGTACTTGTATTGTTCTTGGGTTTTCTCAACATTCTAGCTTGCAGATATCTTACCACTAAACATAGTGGCTCTTTTAGTACATCCATGCTAGGTCCAGTCAGCATAATAACATCAATATAATGGACTGCTATGTACAACTTCGGACATGTTGTAAGGAGAGACCGGTCCTTGGAGAAGGACATCATGCTTGGGAGGGTGGAGGGACAGCGCAGGAGGGGAAGGCCCTCTATGAGGTGGATTGATTCAGTGACGGGGGTAATCGGGATGGGAGTGTCGGGGACAGTGCGATTGGCACAGGACAGAGCGGAGTTTAGGGCTATTGTACAGGGTCGCTATGAGTCACAAGCGACTCGATGGCACATAACAACAACAACAACAAGACATTTTGTGTGAGGGAGAGGGCATCTCAGTTCTTTTTTTTTTCTTAATTATTAGTGTGTGTGTGTGTGTGTGTGTGTGTGTGTATGTGTACTGTCAAATAAGATCTGACTGGTACAGGAGGAGATTGTCCCGCCTTTCCCGTCAGAGCATCTGGTGGATTTGAACCGTGCAACTCTGGGATTGCAGCGCAGCTTCTTGCCACTAAGGCACCAGAGCTACCTGGAATCTCAGTTCTTGCAGACTAAATTCTGACCTACTGCTGGAAATAGATGCCTTCTCAGGTATTTTTGACTTTTAAACAGAAAGCATTATTTCCGATAGTCCTTTGTAATTACACTGCTCCAGAAGGCTTTGACTAAGCCATTAGTTGCACAGTACATGCCAGGAAATATTTTCATTTTGCTTAAGCCGTGGAAGCACAAATAGAACAGCAGCTACGATTCCATCACCATTTAGTTGCTTTTTTCTTTCTTTTTTTAAAAATTGTGTGTGTGTGTGTGTACCGTCAAATCAGATCTGACTGGTGCAGGAGGAGATTTCCCCTCCTCCGGCAGAGCATCTGGTGGATTCGAACCGTGTTTTTCTGGGCCTGTAGTGCAGCTTCTTGCCACCAGGCCGCCAGAGCTCTCCATTTAGTTGCTTTTGTAATTCTCCTTAGTTTCATCTGTTTTCAGAGGATGCATTTGAGGGAAGGTGGTGTGGGAATAACCTCTACATGCTTGAGATGTGTGATGGTGACCCTAATCAAGGCTCATAATTTCATAATTCAGTGTTACATTTTTTTTAAAAGGGGCCTTCTTTCACTTACTTAATTGTTTCAGAATCAAGGAAGAAATTTTATGTAGCATTCACAGACATTGTGTGAAATGGTTCTGTTAGATGGTGTGTCATTTGTTGTTTGTTTTTGAAACATAAAATAGAGTGAAATAGTAAAGAAAGATTGATTAGAAAGTTCTACCCCCAAAGGGAGGGACCACCCACCTTGAAATAAAGAGGAGAGAGGCCAATTCAGTATTGGTTTTGATATAATGTATCATCTCCTAGGTAGAGGCAGTTCTAACAACTTGTAGCAGCTTCTTGGAGTCCTCTTTTAGGGGACCCTGTGGGTCCTCTATTCAGTGCTTTATGTGTTTGTACACTGACTCAAATGTGGGAATATATTGACGAGAGATAGCTGTTCTCACAGTTCAAGTTGGAGTGCCATTCATCTGATGACAAATTCCTTCTATTTTTATTTTTTTTATTTTGTGTGTGTACCATCAAATAGGGTCTGACTGGTACAGGAGGAGATTGTCCCTCCTTCCCCAGAAGAGCATCTGGTGGATTTGAACTGTGCACCTCTTGGATTGCAGTACAGCTTCTTGCCACTACGCCGCCAGAGCTGCCTAAATTCCTTCTCTCTTATGTTGTGTTTATGTTCCATCAGTGAATACTCACGGCCACCCTGAAACAACAGATGAGAAACTCAACCTGTCCACACCGTCCTCATGGTCTCTTATGTACTTGAGCTCATTGTTGTGGTCGCTTTCTACACCCATCTTGTTTAAGGTCTTTCTAACACCTACCTTTTCCTGCACGATGCCTTTTTTTCATGGGCTGGCCCTTCCTAAACACATGTCCAAAGACTAAGTTGAAGTTTCACCGTCCTTGCCTCTAAGAGCACCCTGCTTGTGTGTCCAGTATTTGTAGATTTCCCATTAGTGTCAATCCCAGGGACACCATGAATAAGTAATAAAAATTACACTATGCTCTAAGTCCATACCGTCTTAATTGAAAAGTTCTTTGACTCTTTTGATTATGAGAACTACGCCACTTTTTCAGTGTTTGTTCAATGCAGCCGTTACGGGGTCCAGCAAATCCCTTTAATTGTTGTTGTTATGTGCCGTCGAGTCGCTTGCGACTCATAGCGACCCTATGTACAACAGCCCTAAACTCTGCCCTGTCCTGTGCCAATCGCACTCTCTGACACTCCCATCCCGATTATCCCAGTCGCTGAATCAATCCATCTCATAGAGGACCTTCCCCTCCTGTGCTGTCCCTCCACCCTCCCAAGCATGATGTCCTTCTCTAAGGACCGGTCTCTCCTCACAACATGTCCAAAGTATGTTAGACGGAGCCTCAGAATCCTTGCCTCCAAGGAGCCACCTGGTTTAACCCTTTCCAGGACAAATCTGCTTGTTTTCCTAGAAGTCCATGGTATTCTCAATACTCTTCTCCAGCACCACAGCTCAAAGGCATCAATTCTTCTATCCTCCTTGGTCATTGTCCCACTCTCTGATGCATAACAAGTGATTGTGAAAACCATGGCCTGTATCAAATGCACCTTAGTCTCCACGGAGACACCATTGCTCTTCAGTACTCTGGAGAGGTCCCTAACAGCAGACTTTCCCATGGCAATGTGCCTTTTAATTTCCTGGCTACTGGTGCCAAGCCTGTTGACTGTGGAGCCAAGCAAACTAAAGCTGTGTACAATCTCAATCTCTTCACCATCCATCCTGATGCTGCCAATTGGTCCAGTGGTGAGAATCTTTGTCTTCTTGACATTGAGCTTCAGTCCATATTGGAGGCTGCAGTCCTTGACCCTCTGCAGCAGGCACTTCAGGTCCTCTTCGGTTTCAGCAAGCAGGGTTGTGTCATCTGCATAACACAGATTGTTGATAAATCATCCCCCAATCTTGACCCCACATTTCTCCTCATAGAGCCCAGCCTCCTGGATAATCTGTTCTGCATATAGGTTGAAAAGGTATGGAGACAGGATGCATCCCTGGCATACACCCTTCCCAATTTTGAACCATGCAGTGTTCCTTGCTCTGTTCTGATGACTGCCTCCTGGTCCAAGTATAGTTTTCGCATTAGAACGGTCAAGTGTTCTGGGATTCCCACTCTTCTCAGAGTCAGCCACAGTTTGTTATGATCCACACAGTCAAATGCCTTGGCATAGTCAATGAAACACAGATAGACATTGCTCTGGTATTCTCTGCTTTCAGCCAAGATCCATTTAATATCAGCTACAATATCCCTAGTACCATGACCCCTTCTAAACCCAGCCTGGACTTCTGGTAGTTCTCTGCTGATGTGCTGTTCCAGTCGTTTTTTGATGATCTTCAGTAAAATCTTACTTTTGAGGCCCTGAACACTAATGAGCAAAGACCAGATGAGTTGTAGGAGGATATCAAGGGTATCATCCAGGAAGAGTGCAAACGGTCATTGCAAACACAGAAGAGGAAATGAAGACCAAAATGGATATCAGAAGAGACTCTGAAACTTGCACTGCAGCGCAGAGAAGCCAAAGCACAAGGAAGAATTCAAGATACTAAGGAGTTGAATAGAAGATTTCAAAAGGCAGCACGGGATGACAAAGCAAAACATTACAATGAAATGTGCATGGAGTTGGAGTCAGAAAATCAAAAGGGCCGAACTCGCTCAGCATATCTTAAGCTCAAGGAACTGAAGAACAAATTCAAACCTCGAGTTGCTATAATCAAGGATGCTTTCAGCAGAATGTTAAATGATCCAGGAAGTATTAAAAGAAGATGGAAAGAATATACTGAGTCACTGTATCGAAAGGAATTGGAAGACACAGAAGAATTTAATGAAACAACATATGAGCAAGAGCCTATGATGATGAAGAAGTTCAGGCTGCTTTGAAGGAAATGGCAAAAAATAAGGCTCCAGTAATAGATGCTATACCAATTGACATATTTAAGCTAATAGATGCTGCCCTGGACGTGCTCACCAAGTTGTGCCAAGAAATCTGGAGAACAACCACTTGGCTGACTGACTGGAAGAGATCTATATTTGTTCCTATCCCAAAGAAAGGTGACCCAACAGAGTGTGGAAACTATAGAACAATGTCACTGATTTCACATGCAAGCAAGATTTTACTGAAGATCCCCTTTTAATTAGGAGTCTTAAATTAATTAGGGAGCTCTGGTGGCTAAGGGCTA